ATATTTCATATATTCTCTCATGTGTCAGATATTTCATTTTTTAAGATGGAAAAAGATATCACATATTAAAACCTTGACTAGCCCTGGGTTCTCCTTCACATGAAATGAACCTTCTACAAAGAGCTGGCTCAGAAAACACCTCCAAGGAGATGAATTACCAAAAAAGAATCACAAAAGGATCTCTGCAGAGACATTATGAGGAAAAGGGAAGGAAAAGGAAAACAAGAATGCTGCAAGGTCAACAAAAATGGAGACTAAAACTTTGGACTGACATGACCGGATTGGGGAGGGGGATGATTTCAAATACTTTGACAAAATGGAGTGTGGAAATGCAATGGACCTCTGGCTAGAGGTCAGGGGGGAACCAGAATGTTCCCCAGAACTGAAGCTCTGACATGGGAGATTTTCTTAGGGATCTCCCCAGTCTCTCATCTCATCTGTCATTGTAGTTGAACCATTTAAGCCGTTTCAAGTGGTGTCTATTTTTAACTCACTCATCCCCTGTTGGGAGGTCTTCCTTTGTGCTAGGTGCTGTACCTGCTCTGGAGGGTTTGGAGTCTGGAGGTAGAGGTGATGATTACATGGTGCTGTGGGAGGCGGCATGCAGGGTTCCTCCAGCAGAGGGTCTAACCAGTCCAGGGCTCTGGGAAACTTGTCAGAGGAAATAGCATTCCAGGTGGAGCCTGAAAGATGAATGAGAATCAGCCATGGTAGATGAAGGGTGGAGGTTGGGAAGAATGCTCCAGATGGGAACAAAAATACAAAGGTCTGGGGCGCCTGGGTGGCTCAGTGGGTTAAGCCTCTGCCTTGGGCTCTGGTCATGATCTCAGGTTCCTGGGATCCAGCCCCACATTGGGCTCTCTGCTCAGTGGGGGGCCTGCTTCCCCCTCTGACTCTCTGCCTGCCTCTCTGCCTGCTTGTGATCTGTCAAATGGACAAATAAAATCTTAAAAAAAAAATCTATTAAAAAAAATGCAAAGGCCTGAAGGAGACAGAGGGTATGGAATTCTAAAGGCGGGGCTTGAGCTGTAGGCCAAGCCCAAACAGGTATGCCTTGAGGGCCTTCTTAGAGAATGTGATGCTATCTTACAGGAATTGGACAACACTGACTGTTTTAAGCAAAGGAGTTACATGATGAGATTGGTTTATTTTAGAAAATTCACTCTTCCCCATTATATCAGTTTTTGCCCCATTGAGACCTTTAATCTACCTACTATCCTACCTTTAATTATCCATCACCTTCCTCACTTCCTTCCCTACTAGATCAGATTCCAAGGGTCATCATCATAAACGCTCCCTCAGATCAACTTTCCCTTCTCTTGCTCTACTCTCATTGCTGGACCACCTGGCTGCACCCCACAGTTCAGCCTCTAACACTCTGGGGTAAGAACAAGGTGTTGGCTGGATTGTATTACTTCAGGAGGCTTTAGGGGAGAATCTGTTTCTTTACCTTTTCCAGCTTCTTGGCTCTGCCCACATTCCTTGTCTTGTAACCCTGCATCCCTCCAGCCCCTGCCTCTGTCCTCAGATCTCCTCTGATTCTCCTGTCCTCCTCTTTCCCTTGTGATTACATGGGGGCCACTTAGATAATTCAGGATAATCTCCCCATCTTAAGATCCTTAAACATACCCACAAAGTCCTTTCTTCTATGTAAAGTCCCACTCCCAGTTTCCAGTGATTAGGATGTGGATGAACCATTATTCTGCCCACACACCGTCTTCTAGGACAATATATCATATCTTCACTCCTCTCACTTTCCTAGCCCTGTCTCCCCACCCTATTGTGACTTTTCTTTGGAGAAATAGTCTCCATTAGACCAGAACTGCCTTGTCATCCCATCGTCAAAATCACCCCCTCCCTGCATCTGGACTCACACTCAGCTGGGCCTCCTGTCATCCAGGATGCTTTGTCCCTGCTCGCATTTACAGTCAAGACATTCACCCTTGCTCTGGCTCTTCTCAGCAGACAGTTCTCCATGGTGTCTCATATTTCTGCACATTTAGCTAGGCACTGACCTTTGTTCTGGATGATCTTCACTTAGCTAACAGCCTTGGAAGATAGATATGCTGTCTACCCCTGAAGCAACGGGCAGGCATGTGTCTTTTACCAGCATTCATGAAACTTGGCAGGCTAACTTTGTTAGCTTGCAAATAGGGTAAAATCTCAGTCCCTTCAGTTCTCAGCAGAATCCATCTCCTCTAGCTTCTCAAGGTCTTCACACCTAACTTGCTTTTCTGGAACATCCATTGTTCCCTTTCTAATGGCTCACTGTCATCAGCGAATACTCATGCTCCAGCATATCTCAAGACCAAAAAGAAACTAAAAACCACTCTTGTTTGACACCTGCTTGCCTTCCCACTACAAATCCATTTCTCTGTTCTCTTATCAGCAAAAATTCATACAATCATTATCTCTCACAGTGCTGCCCAGTAGAACTTTCTGGGATGGTGGAAATGTTCTGTCTCTGCATTGTCTAATTTGGCAGCCACTAGCCTCATGTAGCTGTTGAGCGATTGAATGTGGCTAGTGTAACTGAGGAGTGGATTTTTAATTTAATTTAATTTCAATTAAATTTAAATAGCCACGTGTGGTTAATGGCCACCATATTGGAGAGACAGATTTCTAGTGACTCCATTTCTGTCCTTTTCCTATCTGAATTCTCAGCCGTACTTGATCTGATTGACTGACCTGTTATTCTGAGGCATTTTGTTTCTGGCTTCCATGACTCAGCTCTTTTAATTCTGCTGTTCCACTCTCCAGCTGTCCTTGGTTGGCCTTCTCTGCTTGACCTGTAAGTGCCACAAAGATCCATCCTGTGTCTACACTCCTCTGCACTCCTGTAGTCCTGCATTCCTCTGTCTACACTTCTCTCCAAGTGACCTCACCCAGTTACCTAGTGTTAGATATTATCTACAGGCTGATGAGTCCCAAGTGTGTGTCTCTAGCCCTGTCCTCTTCTCTGGGCACTGAACACTCATATCTAATTGCCTACTTTACATATCCGTGTGGGTGTTCAACAAGCATCTCAAACTTAATACATCCAAAATAGAACATTTCCCTACAACCTGTTCTTTCAGCTTTTCTATCCCAAGAAATGCACCCTCTCTACCCAATTGCTTAAGAGAAAAATGTGGGACCCTTTGCCCAGACTTACTGTCGATGTTGTGAGCTCTACCTCCAAAATATATTCATATTTGTGTCTTTAGTGTCTACTGCTAGTTCCTGACTTTAAGCCCCCAACCTTGCTCCTGATTTATGATAATAGCCTCACCACTGCTTTCTCTTGCCCCATTCTACATATAATGACTGCACAGCAGCTAGAAGGAGCTTCAAAAGTACAAATAACTTTTGGGCACCTGGATGGCTCAGTTGGTTAAGCATCTCTCTCTCTCTCTCTCTCTTTTTTTTTTTTTTTTTAGATTTTAGCTATTTATTTGACAGAGATCACAAGTAGGCAGAGAAGCAGGCAGAGAGAGAGGAGGAAGCAGGCTCCCTGCAGAGCAGAGAGCCCGATTCGGGGCCCAATCCCAGGACCCTGGGATCATGACCGGCGCTGAAGGCAGAGGCTTTAACCCACTGAGCCACTCAGGTGCCCCAAGCATCTGACTCTTGATTTCGGATCAGGTCATGATCTCAGGGATGTGAGATCGAGCCCCTTGTTGAGCTCCACACTCAGAGCAGAGTCTGCTTGTCTGTCTCCCTCTATTCTACCCCCTGCTTGCATGCTCTTTCTCTCTCTCTCTCAAATAATTTTAAAAAAATTACAAATAGTTTTGAAGGTGTTTTTTTTTTTTTTTTTTTAAATCCTCTAGTGACGTTCTCTTGCGTGTAAAATATGAGATCAGTGAGACTGTGAGCCCACCTGGAAACCTCCCACCTCTGGGTCTTATGTGAGATTCTGCTCTATCCTCCTCGTTTCAACCACTTTGATTTAGATTTACTGTTACTTGAAGTAAAAAACATCCTAACTGACCCCAATGATCATTAGAGAATGGCTTATTAGTAATTAAAAGTTAGAATGAATGAAATAGCCCAAACCAGAGAACTGATTATGAAATTGTTATTATGCAATGGAATAATATACAGGAGAGAAAATATGATGTCAAAGGCATCTGCTTATTGACATTATGCTTATTGTGTAATGTCAAATTTAAAAAGCATATTTCAATGGCATTTATATATGAATACACATAGACACAGACACAGACACACCCATTATAGTGAGTAATTTGTTTCAAGTGGACATCAACACACCCTATAAATGCATATGCACATTTTACAGTGGTTGTTACTGGGTTGTAGGAGTATAAGTTTTTGTTCTTTATGATTTTTGATATTTTTTTCAAATTTTAACAAAATAATTTTATAGTAAAAGGGCAATAAAAGGTATTTGACATGAAAAATAGTATTTTTAAGGTACAATTGGTTAAGCAGACAACCTTATTTATTTGTCCCAACGTTACTGAGATATAGTTGACATCCTCATGGTTGTTTAGCTTCTTCTTTTACTCACTTCCTTTACTTTCTCGCTTTGTCAAGGTGCTTTCAGACCAGCTTGAGGTGTCCTGTAGTAGAATTGCCTTTAGAAATGTTCTCAGAGCCCGGGAAGAAAGGTGTCTGCAGGGATACCCAGACTGAATGAAGCATGGAGGGGGTGGGTCCTGATTGCCCTTTCCAGGCAGTAGACAGACGGTGACTTCCTAGTCCCACCCTCCCACTCATGGCAAGAGGCCTGCGCCAGCCGCCCGTACTCAGCCACCCTGCAGGGGCCCCTCCTGGGGCCCCCAGACAAGTCCCATCTGCCACCATAGTGCCAGATGTAGCCACAAGAGGGCGAGCAGCATCCAGCTGATGTTTTGAATTGCTCTCTTGACACTGGAACAAACATAACGTGGCTTCCGTTTCATAATGCCAGTCTGTTTAGCCGAGTTTCTACACTATTGCGGTATGGTAAATCCCCATTTACTAGCATTTAAAAAAAATTTTCCTCTATTCTTCAGGGACGTAATATGGGGCATTTCATCCTGATACGGCTTTACGCGTTTGTGGGGAGGCCCAGACCCTGAGCCTGCCTGATGCAGGACTCCCAGGACACCGGGCCACCGCCGAGGGAAACCTGTGCGCACCTCAACAAACAGAGGGGGTCCATGTTCATGGATTGGATGATGCAACATCATTACGGTGGTAATTCTCTCCAAAGTGTCTATAGATTCCATGCAATCTTTTTCAAAATCCCAGCAGGAATTTTTTGCAGAAATTGGCAAGCTTATCTCTGAGGGCAAAGATAGCCAAAAGAATTCTGAAAAAGAACAGAATTGGAGGACTTACATTTCCTGACTTCAAAATACTGTAAAGCTTCAGTAAAAAAAAAAAAACAAACAAAAAATAGTGTGATACTGGCATGTGGACAGACCTATATATCAATGGAACAGACTTGAGAGGCCAGAAATAAACCCTTATGTTTATGGTTAATTGGTTTTCGACAAAAATGTCAAGGCAATTCAATGGAGGGAAAGGATAGTCATCTTAAGTGGTGCTGGGACAAAGTAGGTTAGTGGTTGCCTGGGTATGGGGTAGGAGTGGGGAAGGACTGCATATGGGGTGATAGAAATGTTCTAAACGTGGATTGTGGTGATGGTTGCTTAGCTCTATAAATTAACTAAAAATCATTGAATTCACACTTAAAATGGGTGAATTTTATAGGCGAGGGAGGGGAAGACACCTCAGGCCAGAAGCAGGTGAGGTGAGATGTACCAGCATAGAGCAGAGTGCAGGGGTGGTGGGGGGAGGGTCTGCACTTGCTTTACCATCCCCCTTGCTGAGCCTTTCAAAGCCTCAGCCTCTTGTTTTTTATAGACTGGAATAACATTTGCAGTTGGTGCCCCTGTGAGGCCCCAGGCACAGGAAGGGCAGTGCCCTCCCCCATGGGGTCTCACTAAGCCCTCAGGGCCAAGGAGGGAGCCCTGTCCAGGAGCCTCCCTGTCTGACTTCGGAGTGCCCGGAGTCCAGGAGAATCTGGGGGGCAGTGCTGTCCTGTAGGAGCACAGTGTGGCCCTGTGGACACTTAACTTTTCCAATGGCTGCATTTAAAAAATAAAGCAGGTACTTCTTGGGTACAATTCATTTTAATACTATATTTATTTTTATTTAATTAAAAAATACTTTATTTTTGGGTGCCTTGGTGGCTCAGTTGGTTAAGCAACTGCCTTCCGCTCAGGTCATAGTCCCAGAGTCCTGGGATCGAGTCCTGCATCAGGCTCCCAACTCCACGGGGAGTTTGCTTCTCCCTCTGATCTCCTCCCCTCTCATGCTCTCTCTCACTGTCTCTCTCTCAAGTAAATATATAAAATCTTAAAAAAAAAAAAAAAAAAGAGGGGCGCCTGGGTGGCTCAGTGGGTTAAGCCGCTGCCTTCGGCTCAGGTCATGATCCCAGGTCCTGGGTTCAAGCCCCGCATCGGGCTTTCTGCTCAGCAGGGAGCCTGCTTCCTCCTCTCTCTCTGCCTGCCTCTCTGCCTGCTTGTGATTTCTCTCTGTCAAATAAATAAATAAAATCTTAAAAAAAAAAGATTTTATTTTTAAGTAATCTCTACACCCATATGGGGCTTGAATTTACAACCCCAAGATCAAGAGTTGCATGATCTACCAACTGAGCCAGTCAGGTGCCCCAATACTCTAGTTTATTAACCACCTATACCCCAAATATTATCTGGCATATAATCAATATAATAATTATTCGCAAGATAGCTTATATCCTCTTTTTCTCACAAAGTCTTCCAAACATGCCGTGTACTTCACGCTCAGCGCATTGCCATTTGAACTAGCCATACTGCAAAAGCCCGTCAGCAGCTGGTGGCTCCTGATCACCTTAGTGGAGGGCGCAGGCCTGAAGCACCTGACGGACGCAGGGCGAGATTCCATGTTATACCATAAAAAATGCATGTGTGGCCATGTTTGGAAAATACTGTGTGGGGGTATACATATTTGTTTCGTGGGCACCTGGGTGGCTCGGTTGGTTAAGCCTCTGACCCTTGATCTCAGCTCAGGTCTTGATCTCAGGGTCCTGAGCCTACATCTTAAAAAAAAAAAATGCTATAAGAGTTCCTAAATTAACTTGCAACCTAAATTACAATTTATTAAAAAAAAAAAATATGTAGCCCGGGGTGCCTGGGTGGCTCAGTGGGTTAAGCCTCTACCTTCGGCTCAGGTCATGATCTCAGGGTCCTGGGATCGAACCCCGCATCGGGCTCTCTGCTCAGCGGGGAGCCTACCCCCCCAACCTTTCTCTCTCTCCCTGCCTCTCTGCCTACTTGTGATCTCTGTCTGTCAAATAAATAAAATCTTAAAAAAAAAAATGTAGCCCATCCTGTACAGTACTTTCCATATTTTTCCAAAGTGCCTTCACACCACTCCCCTACCTCGAGGAGAGGCTGCACTATCCCCACCCCCGCAGGCAGATTGCAGCCTTTTGGGTCCCACTCAGTTCCCGCCTCTAAGCTGGGTGGCCTTGGGCAAGTCTTCTAATCTCCTCAGGCTCAGTTATGTTGTTTTAAAAAATGTGGATGATCATGACATCCCTTTTGTGAAACATTTATTTACTTTTTAAAAAGTTTCATTATTTATTTTTGAGGGAGAGAACAAGCTAGCAGGGGGGAGGGGCAGAGAGAGAAGCAGGCTCCCCACTGAGCAGGGAGCCTGATGTGGAGCTCAATCCCAGGACCCTTTGATCATGACCTGAGCTGAAGGCAGCCACTTCACCAACTGAACCACGCAGGCCCCCATGAAACAAGTATTTATTGAGCTCAGCTCTAGGCCAGGCCTTGTTCTAGATGATTGGATGCAGTGGTAGAAAGCCCCGCCCTCACGGTGCTCACATTCCAGGCAGCTGCGCTGTCAGCCTTGGGAACTGTTGAGAAGATTTCTGTAAACCAATGCATGCACACAGCTTGGTCAGAAGGACAGCTGGGGAATAGGGATAGTCATTGCCTTCATCACCATCATCATCATCGCTAACCTCTCTTCAGTGCTCTAGCCCCTACCACAGGCAGAATCTGTTCCCACAGACTACAACACATAAGAAGCCCTAAGACAGGGAACTCGAGCTTCAAATTAAGAGTGAATCTTTTGGGACAAAGAAAGAGAAGAACTGGCTGGAAGAAGAAAAAGAGCATTTCAAGCACATCATCACTCGCACTATAATCACTTAAAAACAGTTAAGTCAACCATGAAATTAACAAGAGCAGAAATCTGTGTTCCTTCCATTCAGATCTCCATGGCTGGGCTTCACATTTACTGAGATAAATGTCTCCCATGATCACCCTGTGTCGCCAAGGACAGTGTCCCTTCTTGGAGATAATATTCTCATTAATGCTAGACAAACAGCATGCAGGCTTCAGCAGCAATCCCAGGTCCAAGGATATCTGATCATGTGACAGTCTCCCTCCTCTGTAGAGGACAGGGCTGGAGGGAAGGAGACAGATCTTCTCCATGTGGCTCTGCCCTACATCCAGCCCACCCCACTCACCCCGACCAGTGCACCTGTGCTCTGCCTCCAGCCTCTGACCTCCCAGCCCATCCCACCAACCCTCCACCAGAGTGAAGCCAGAGTGACCTGCAGAGTTCCACAGGAAATCCCAGCGGTAACCAAGGTGAGCAGAAGGACATGTGATACTCAGGGAGATGGCACAGACAGGCAGGTAGGGTTCTAGAATCCAGTTAGACTGGTCAGGAAGAGTCATGGTTGTCTTTAGGAGGTGGTCAGGATGGCTCACAGGTAGGAATGGGGTGGCTGACAGGAGGGGAATAGTATAACTCACAGGACAGGAATGGGGTAGCCCACACATGGATCAGCTTTGCTCTGTCGGGGGCAAAACCCTTAGCTCTGCAGAAGCCCATCTACATTTCCCCCTTGAGTCTGTCTTTAGGATCAAGGGAGGACTTGCCCCTCCTGCCTAACAGGGACCCTGTTTCACCATCCCTAGTTTCTCCCTCCATGATCCTGGGCTCTCAGAAAGTGGGCTCAGTGATCCAAGGCAAAAAAAAGGCTTTTGCTCAGGGTATTTTCAGGATCCAAAGGACTGTGGGGGCCACTTCCCCTGATAGGGTTCAATTCCTTGAAGCTTAGCAACATAGTCTTTTACCACCTACTAAGTCTAGAGTTCGCAGGCAGGATGAAGTCTAGAGTCCTTGGTCCACGTACTACCACCAGGCTCCTTGGGCCCACTGGCAGAGAAATGAGGCTTTACAGTCTCACATGGTTTTCTTTCTGGAAATCACCCAGTTGCAGAGCTCCAGAGTTGGGAGGGCTTTTAGAGACTCTAGAGTCCATAAGTACACTTTCACACCTCAACACTTCAGAAATCAGGATCTGCCTCTCCACCGGCAGCCCTAACTTTCTGTTGCCCAGGTGGCTGCCCCCAAATTAATATTGCTTCTTGCACCTGTCACCACTCCTCGCTTGACTGGAGGATTTCAGTCCCTCAATGGTTCCATTAACGAACCACTGAAGGACCATCCGACGACGAAGAAATGAGTCCTGGATGGTGTCTGAAACATTCTGGTGACACCTTCTGGTAAGATTGAGAAAGTACTAGCATCAAACCTTGCAGAATGGGGATCAGTGGCATGGGAGAGTATCCAGAAAGACATAGGGGGCTGCTGTGTTGAGAAATGCCACATTATCCATTCTCCTGATGGCACAGAGGATGGTATCATGTGGAAAAACGTGGATGTTGATGACTTAGAGTCAGAAAGTGAACCTCTACGCCTGTTCTTTGCGTCAAACGAAATCAAATCCTTTATATTTGCTTTTGATTATCTTCTAATTACACTAATAATACATGAACACATTCTGTTACTTAAAACAATGAAACCTACAGATGCCACAGAATTCCTCCTGCATGGCCACTCACTCCCTGCTACCAAGCCTGAGGTCTTCCCTGAAGATGACGTTGTAACTAGTGTGTGTATCCCTGCTGACAGGTTTTTTTTTTCTTAATTTGCTTTTGCATAATTTGGATTTCATCTGTAAGTTAACGTAAATGGCTAACATAAATGGTATCTTATGTAGTCATGCTTTTGCAATATGCTTTTTCCACTTAATAACAGAATCTTGGGAGAACTTCTCATATTAATGCATATAGGACAACCCACTTCCAAACTGTTGAATAGGGACAATTTATTTACATATTTCCATGTTGAGAGACATTTGGGTT